TTTCATTATGATTATCCTGAAGAATCTACCTCACTCTTTCCTGTTACTATGCATAATTTCTCTATTATATTTCAGATCATTTACTTTGAATATCTATCTCAGAGGCAAAATTATTTAAAGGCATAGGTGATTCTACTGATTCCTCATACTTGATCAAGTACAAAGAATCCTAAAATGAATAAAATATACTGAAAACCATTTGAACATAACTGCCCAGGACTACTGTTAGCATGATAGGCCAGACGGGTCAGTGATGTGCTAACTCCAAGATGTCCCTGGGGTGGGTACCAAGTTTTTGCCCGTGACTTAATACTAATTTTAAAAGTACGAGGGCTTCTGCCTTGTGACATGGTTGTTATCATTATGTTTCAAAGTTTATAAATAAAATAATTAAAAAGCAGCATGCCATTTTCCCACCTATATTTCTCCCATGATCACTAAAGAACATCTGGGCAAGGCTTTATTTCTGGTACAGGGAGTTTGGAACTAGAGACAGCTTTCTTTTTCCTTACTGATGATCAACTGGGTTCTAGGTGGATGAAGCAGTAGAATCACTTCGGCAGTGGAGGCAATAAAGACAGCCTTGACAATAATGGCTACCAATGGGTAATGTGACTGAAAGGCAGAGATAGAGGCATTGTGGATTTAAAATACTACGTGACAATTCCAAGGTTACATTCTCATTTGTCTGCAAGATGCAGAGGACAAAACACTACATGAAGGTCTATGTCCACATGTCAGAAGATAGCATTTTGGAAAAAATCTATAGAAATTGAAGATGAACATTTCCAACTATTCTCTTCAAGCAAGTGTGGAGAGCATTCCGCCCTGGGACCAAATACAGCTCAAGAATTCATGAATACCAGACAGTGCCACAGGCCTCACCAGAGAGAAGGAATTCCAGCTATTACATTAGGGGGACGCTATTTAAATGTCTGACCAGTATAGCCTGCAAATGATGTTATAAATATCCAAATGGCCCTTGGCAAAAAAAAAAAAAAAAGGTTCCAACCTTGTCTTAAAGCAGCATTCAATATTAGTGTAATTACTAACAAATAGATTTTTTACTAAAGACAATGTGAATATACTTTGCTTAAGTATCATGCAAATGAATTTTTAAAGGTTTGTAGCTAAAACCATGTGTTTCAATGAGTGAAAAGCAGATGAACTTGCAACTGATGCTCATTAAGTCAAACCACTTAAATGAGACAGAGTATAGCTTAAATGCTTTGTTCCAAATTGCTATAAAAAATTGTCATCAGATAATTATCATCTTTATGCTTCAATTTCCATTACATAATTATAAAGGAAATGTACTATCATACTAGAATCCACCAGAATTGTAAAACACAGTGGTTTTCTATCAAACAATGGTGGAAATTGATCAACCATAATGAGATTAAAAGCAATTTTTTCTTTTGGAAGGAAAACTGGAAGAGAAGAACGAAGACATACATACCTACCGGCATACCTTAAAAAGTCTCTTTTTTTAAAAGCAAAGACATTTTTTAGGAAATAATCTATTTGCCATATAGTACAGTCATTAGCTATAGATATCAGTATCTTCTTGTCGAGAAATATCATGCGCTACAGATTGAGCAAATGACTCCCTAGAACAGAATCATTACTGTGCCTTCATTAAATAATTTTGAATGTAACAGTGCCAATGAAGCAAGACAAAATATTAAAAAAAAAAAGATCTAGAGGACAGAGTAGAACTGCCCCTGTGGGGTTTCTGAGGCTGTAAAACTCTAAAAAGCAGAAATCTTCGTCTTTCTCCTGTAGGCCAGCTGGTGGATTTGAACTGATGACCTTGCCCAACACAACCCACTATAATCACCAGGGCTCAACAGTCCCTAGAGTCACCATACTTCAGAAACAATGAACAGTAATTAATAACCTTTCCAAAGGAACTACTTGGAGTTCACATAATTATACTTGTACAAAAACTGTATATTTATATGGGTGCAATGAGTTGTGTAGCTGTAACACAAGTGGTTTAAATCCACCAGCCACAAGAAGAGGCTGTATCTGCTGCCGCAAATATTTTCAGTCTGGGCAACCCTACAAAGGGCTGAATTGGAATTAAAATAATAGCACTGGGTTATTAGTCTCTTTTAATACCTACCTGACTTATACTTAAGCTATCTGAGTTAATGTAAAAAATACATAGTGAGGAAAAACTCTGAAGATCACTACATAACATTTTCTCCACATTACTTCTTACAATTACATGTGAATATACAACTACCCAAAGGAATCCTCTGTCTTTCACCATAGTACGACGTTTGCTGCCAGTCTTTTTGTAGATGCCAGGATGAGAAAGTTCCTTTGTGCTGCAAGTTTGCCCTTTAAAATTTTTTTATCATGAATGGGCATGAGACTCTATCAAATGCTTTTAATATTTAAATGTTACTATATTAAGATAATCATGGTTTTCCCCTTTATCCTATTAATATGCATTACAATACTTGACTTGCAAATGCTAAATCAACTTTGCTAACGCAACCTTGCTTGTTGAAAGTGAAAAAAACTTGAAGCATTGAGGAAGATTAAAGACTATACAGTCTTCAGTATGGGTTACAACTCCATGTAAAGAAAAAAAATCCTCACACCTGGACCAACAGACAACACCACAGCAAAAGAAGCAAAGATGGACACTGATAAGGGTTTAATTTCACAATATACAACCCACACTCATGGAAGCAGCAATCAAGAAATAAAATACCGTACAGCAGTGGGCACACTTGCTGCTGAGGGGACAAGACCTCGTAACTGTGTTAGAGCAGAGACGGCTCTGAGCACTTGCTGGATCTGAACAAGCCGTGGTATTTTCCGTAGCTTGATGCACGTGAAACTGGACAACGAATAAGGAAGACTGCAGAAGAACGGATTCATTTAAATGTTGAGATTGGTGAAGAATACTGAAGTACCATGAACTGCCAGAGTAACAAACAAATCTTACAGGGAGTATAGCCAGAGTATGGACAGAGCACCCACATAGGGTTTCCAAGATTGCAAACCTTTATGGAAATAGAGAGCCTCATCTTTTTTCTACAGAGCAGCAAATCAGTTTGAATTGCTAACCGTGTGGCTAGAAGCTCGACCTTACCCATCCATTTTGAGCTATATAGTGTTCTATGTCCTTGATTCATTTTAAAACGCTGACTCTGTAGTCCCTCTTCCTGCCCACCCTGTGTTGTCATGACTTCTGATAGTTTGTTCTCTTAGTGTTTCTAAAAGGGGGAGAAAAAGAATTCCATCCAGCTAAAACGAAACACTCCAAATTCCTCATTAAATACAGCATTTCAAATTAAAATAATAAAATCTATTATGAAGTGGTTTACCTTTCTAAATATATGAATACTCATCTGTAGCACCCTCTCACCTTTTTTGTGGGTTGGAGGGTGAAGCAATGGGTATTTCCTTTCATTGAGTAAATTTTATTTCCAGAGTCTGTTCAATTAAACCCAGCAGTCTGCTTAATACTTTTTCTTCTACCACAACATAGGCCCAGTTCCTGGGTACCACAATCATAGCAAGATAACAGTTCCATGTGATTAATGACATAAACAGCCAACTTTTAATTCACTTTGTCTGTTTTGATATGTGGCAAGTATCCATTAAAAGTAGCTATCTTGATCTTCTTTTCAAAAAATAACGTGAACTAAATTGGATGAATAATTTGTCTGCCTTCTCCATGCATCAATACATCAAAATTCAGAGACTGATTTGGCAACTTCAACCAAGAATACACTGGTGGGAGAGGGGACACTGTGGAAGTAATTCCCAAGTCTTTCCGAGAATAAAAACAAGCAGAAATAAAGACAACAATAAAGACCAGCTTAATATAAACTGATAATATAAGAGAAATAGAACTGTTTAAACTGGAACAATGCTACTACATGCAGTGTTTGGTATTCTGGACTAAATCCTGGAATTTAGGATGTGTGGCAGTTACATAATCTACTATGAACTTGAGGAGGGGTAGAGTATAGCCTGTCAATCAGGTCACAGCTTGTTGACCTCATTTGGATGTGCTCACAGCTTGATGACCTCATTTGGAAGTGCTGCATAGATAAATAGCTCGCTGGAGGCTAAATAC